CTCTTTGAGCTGGGTTGATCTCATCCAGTATCTTTGACGTCTCTGGTGACCAAACCATGGCATCCTGCGCTAGGTCCAGAATGTGCGAATCAACAAAAACAACATCCTGCCCCTAAGATTAAATGTTTTCCACTAATGCGCTGATTTTGCATAGGTCTATTGGTTTTGGTCCCTTATTGGATGTACTTACAATGTATTTGTATTTAATCTTAGGGGTATCAGATACTGAAGGTGAGATCAAACACCATCTCCTGCCGGCGAAGACGGTTACCAGCCTTTGCACCGACTTGGAAGGTTGAGAGATGTGGGGGCGAAGAAACGTAATTGAGATCTGGGCTCTTGGTTCAGGGGTTCTGCTACGGCAACGAAGGTCCTGCAAACAAATCAATGGAATAATTTAACCCCTTTTTTTTTCAAATTGTTTCAGGTCCTGGTCATTGCCACTAGGCATCATCCCAAAAGGTCCTTATAAACATTGTGGCGGTTCCCAACAAATAACATCAAACAACACACGACTGAATCACGAGAATCACCACTGAGAAAGTGGCACGACGGGAATGGCAACAATCTTCACAAGGCATCAACCTTCCAAGGAAGAATTGCTGACTGGAAGGTTCCTGGAGCAGTTCGTTTCACTGCACCCCTGGCCTGCAGCCCGGAATCTGGATCCACCGCGTTTGGATTAAAATGGCCGCCGGGCGGCCGGCCAATGAGGTTCCCCAAGGGAAAATTAAAAATGGGATCTCCAAATGTTTGCTACCAAAGGCTGACCAGGGTTGAAAACAAACAAATACCTCACGCACACACACACATACTTACATTATAATATTAATATATATATATATATAGATAGATATTTATATAGATATATTTTAGATATATTTGTATATATATATATTATGTTAAGTTAAAAATAACATTTATGTAAAAAGAACCAATCAATCACATCATATCATATTATCATACCATATCATTCCAAGGTGGGAAAGGGAGACAGAGGAGAGAAAAGAGAAAGGGAAAAGAGAGGGAGAGAGAAGGAGAGCTGTGGAATGGCCACAGAGTGGATAGAAGATGGCTCAAGAAGCAATCATTGTAGCTGTAGCTTTGGCCACAGAGTGGGCTCAAGACCAGCCATGCCACAATCATTGTAGCTGTAGCTTTGGCCGCAGGGCGGGCTCAATGATGAGCTATGCAACACTCATTGTAGCTGTAGTTTTGGTCACACAATGGACTCAAGATGGCTCAAAAGGCCAACGCCCCAGATGCACAACAAAGCCCCGGAAAGCAGGAACAGAAAATTAATTGAAATAAGAACCCGAGGGTGCCCTGGAATTCTAGCCGCTGGTTCTTATTCCCCCTTTAACGGGTATCAATAAACATTGATTATTAGCAGTTTTTTTTCCATAAAAAAAAGCTTATGCACTGCAGAACTTCCAGGCGGAGGACAAATATGGCGCGGGCCCCAGGAAGATTCGAACCTTTACATGGTCACGAGGGCGGATGTCAACAGTTTCAGCTGGACACCAGCCAGGCTCACTGTAGGTCATCTGACCTCGGCGGCTGCCCTTGGCTTGTCTTGGCTTGTCTTGGCTTGTCTTGGTTTGTCTTGCCTGCGCTACCCCGAAAAAAACCTTTTCGGAGCCTAAAAAGTTGTTTTTTTCCCCCCGCCTCCTTTGCAACCTAGAAACACGCTAAAATAAACTTCAAGCCCTGGCATGGTGGAATATCTGGCCTGTAGCTCTGTTTGGAATGCCTGCACCTGAAAAAGTTTTTCGGGGCATAAAAAAAGAATCTCCCCCCCCGCCTCCTTTGCAACCTAGAAACACGCCAAAATAAACTTTCAAGCCCTGGCATGGTGGAATATCTGGCCTATAGCTCTGTTTGGAATGCCTGCACCTGAAAAACTTTTCGGGACCATACCACGCCAAAATGAATTGGCAAAACCCTCACCGTATGAACCCCTTAAGAACTAACCCATCAAGAACTTGAGGGTACCCTCCCTCGTTCGTAATTCCCATATTTTCCACCTATAGCACTTAAGAAGCCCAGGGTAGGCTGGACAATTCTTAGTCGGTTCTTATCTAACGGTTCCGCTGTACTTGGGGTGCGGTTCCGCTATTGGAAAAATAGGATGTGGCCGTAATAAGTGCTCAACAGAGTGCGGGTTAAAACCATGCTTATGTACGCATTACATCCCATTACAATGTGGGGCACCCAGTTCTAAGTTGGCTTACAACCCTCTCTAACTACAGGTATGACTACCTGCTAAACCCTTAGATTGGAAAAAACAACTCTGTTTCCAGAAAACCTGGTTTTTTGCAAACAGTGTAGAAAAAAGTGCTCTAGAGCACTTTTTACCGTTCGAGGCTATTCTTGGGTCTTTAGGGTACATCATTTCCAATCTCAGGTGAACATAACTGTATAGAGGGAGATGTTTGTATATATTTACATATACATATATATATATATGTATATAAATATATATATATATGATATTAAAAATACATAGAGGTTTCCTGAAAATTGCACATGCATACAAACACATGCATATACACTATATATATATATTTGTAATCATCAACATGTGGGATTGAGAAACAATAATATAGCGCACCAAGGGACAAAATTACATGTCCTGTTCCCAAATTCAATTTATATATATATATATATATTATGAATGGTCTGATTGGTCTGAGGCCAAACTCATAGAGGTAATTAAATACCTTCGTGGGAATGTCAACCTCCGGCTCCCGGAGGAATGGAAGCAATGCTTTCCAACAAGACTGTGATCAAGTTTGATCAGAGTGGTTATGGGGAAAGGTATACCCTAAATACCAACAAAATGCTTTGAAACAATTTCACTGCCTACATATATTCGATCAAATGGTTTTGAGGGACAGGTAGGCAGCTGCAGGGAACCCTGAAATTGTAAACTTCATTTTTCTGAATGGTCAGGGGGGCATGTTGACCCGGGAGCACCCATGGATTGCCAAATATTGGCTTTGTCACTTTTGTCATGGTTTGAATGGTGGCTATCTGGGATTTTTTGACCCACAATGGAAAATAAACAGGAACCTTCAGGTTTTTAAGCGTTTTCAAAAAAAAAAAAGAGAGAGAAAATTAAGAAAAACTAAAAAAATATTAAAAAAATGGAAAAAACGGATTGAAAAAAAAGCGTAAAATTACGTAAAAAAAGCGTTCAGATTGGAAATTACCGTTCAAATCCAATTGCGTAAAAAAAGCGTACCCGTTCGAAAGCGTTCAAAAAGCGTTCGAAAACCGTTCGAAAACCGTTCGAAACCGTTCGACATTACGCACAATTTTACGTAAAATGAAAGACTTTTCAAGATCCAAACCATGCCGTCCCCAAAGTCACCTGGACCACTCTCGGAAAACTTGATTCAAAACATTGACCCTTTTCAGATTTACTATCCGCAGTTGACGTGCTGGAAAAGATTTTACCGCAGTGTACTAGAGGTTACACCATAATTTTGAAGGTATTTTGAGACTCATATACCCCTTTTCAATTTACATCAGTTTTACTGACTGGGATTTGCATGCATTTATAGCTTTTGATTGGCAATTATATAATTTGTCAGTTGGCAAAGCAAACGTCTCAGTCCTGTGGTTGGTTTTTTGTTTCAGCAGTATAAGCCTCACAATCCCAAATCCTGCTAGATCGCGTGAGAAAGGTCAGATGAAATTTCCCCTGATTCCAAAGATTCACCCACTGGAAGAGATTCTTTTCCTCATGGAACACCAAGCCAAGTTCAGTCAATGGGTTTTGAATCCAATGTAGAGAGTTGCAGTCTGGATGAGGACTTTATTGGGCATGCTGCCTACATAACCAGACATGTATCACCTCGCTTGATGGCATTGCGTACCTTCAACCGGTACCTTACCCAGATCATGCTGGCTTGGCGAAGCTGATAGCCTGCAGTTGTTTCCCTCTATAAGACTATACACACATATATATATATACACACATCAGCTTTATATTGGTGTTTTCTACAAACAACAGCCAGTCAGCTTGAGTTTGGAGGCCATCGTAAGATATCATGCCAAATGTTATGATTTAGTCATTTTGCAAGGAAAACACCTCTAGAGCGTAAAAAAGCGTTCGGATTGGAAAAAACCGTTCCAGAGCACTTTTTGCGTTCAAAATGGCAAAAAACAACGTTTTCTTAAAACAGAGCAGAAAAAAGCAATCTGGAAGGTTACCAGGTACTATAAACCCAGGTAATTTAGTTGTAAACCAACTTAGCTAACTATGGGCTCGACAAATTAGTAACCCTAGGTGCAGCCCAAGTATAACTCTAGCTCTAAGTCGCTCTAGCTCATCCACCGCGCAAAAAAAACTGGAGAGACTCAGGACTTCCAGTCATAAGACCAAGAGGATGAATTCAGGTGTAACCTTAAACATGTCCCTGTCAATTGGGTATTACAGCGTTGCACAGTTTGTTTTGTTTGTTTGGGGTTGTGAACACGTGTTTAAAACACTATCATCAATGCCGAACATATTCAACAATCAGCCAGTAAAACACATTAAGACAATTTAAGACACTTATTGATCAACCAAGATTTGATGGGTTGGTGACACGGGCCACCAATAGCCACGTCAAAACTTACATGGAAAGTCCATCCAAATACGACTTCTGTGAACAAGAGTAATAGCAAAAACATATTATACATATAAACAGAACAGGAAAAGTGGCACACCTGGAACTATGAAGTAAATATAATCGAGAATTTATCTGCAACATTCTGGAAACAGTCTGTTCTATCTTTTTGGCCCTTGCTATATACACGTTATTAACCAAGTCAAACTAGTACTTACCCAAGTCTACCCAGCTGGGTCCCCTTGGTCTCCTGCTGGGTTCCTTTCCCAAGGTCCTAATGTACCGTTCATGTATTCCAACCAAATCACTCACTTCGCCGCAACCAGAGCACGTTGCCAAATGGTATCATTTATGGTCTCCCAGTTCCCAAACGAGCCATGGGTCCTGTATGTTGTAGCAAAAGATCGCAAAATATCAGTGTAGTTAAAAAAAATCCTGGGATCGATGCTTCAGCGCGGACAAGGACCGGGATCATACCGAAGAAATGATATAGCAGGGCCAAGCAGAAATTGCCAGTCCATGTGTAAAACACCATGAAAAAAAAAGGCACTCCCAGCATGTCCTCTTCTGTCTGTAAACATCCAAGAATAGGCGAGTTCTATAACCATTCTATACGTCGTTTTCATTTGGATTCGCTTGGGTGTTTTGTAAACATCCGCAAATTATAGGGTGCTCTAGAAAGCATCTAATTAAAATATCAAAACAAATCGCAGCTATCAAAAAACACAACGCTAGTAAAACATGTTTTAACGAACTATTATTCATAGCTATGTTTCAAATTGCCAGGCGTACCAGGATGACGATGCTGATATTAGCACCAGGCCCACCGAATGAGGGTTGACCCGAGTATTCCACAAAAACGCCAAAAACATGGTACTCCCAACTGCCAGGCAGAACTGGCAACATTTTGATGTTTGAGGGTCCATCTGATGGTGTGACCGGTGTAACCCAAATATATTGATGGGGAAAAAGGATGATGCCCCGGAGCCGGTACAGCACGCCAGACTTCAAAAGCATATCCCACTAACCCCCAAAAGAACTACAGGTTTCTTCCAATAAACATTAACTGGCGGCATTCGGAAATCCCTAAATCCATCGAACCCCCCCAATATATATATATATATGTGAATGGTTCTCGAAACGTTCAGTACGTTGGTTTATGACTAATATGATTAATATGCCTTGGCATGATGGATATATCTATGGTTAGATTGGTTTTGCATACCCGCCGACCCCAGCCTTCAGCATGGGGGAGGGCATTGTGTTTTCCTGTTTCGCATGCGCCCGCCAAAGCTGTCGGTTGCAGGTTTCAACAACTACTTTTCTAGAGGTCTCAGAAACCAATGTTCGAAGGAAGTTTAGAGTCAAACTTCCGACAGTATGGACAGATGAAAAGCAGAGATGGGAAGAGTCAGAGAAGAGAAGAGAAGAAGAAAGAAGATCCAAAAAGAGAAAGTCTCAGAAGAAAGAAGATCCAGGTGCGCGAAAAGGTAGGAAAGTCGCGAAACACTGCGTTTTTCCAATGATTTGTGGCTCCGGAGGGTTGAAAAATAGGCTCGCTAAAGCGGCGGGTGCGGAGCCAGCTGGCCAGATGAGAGATGAAAAATTGCACGCGGTTGTGGCGCGAAGCACATTTCGAAGTCAAAATGTACAAAGCACCTCAGCTTCGGAGCACTTTTAGAAGTTGTGATGTCGAAAAAGTGCACGCCGTTGTGGCGCGAAGCACATTTCCAAGTCAAAATGTACAAAACACCTCAGCGTCGGAGCACTTTTGGAAGTTGCGATGTCGAACAAGTGCACGCCGTTGTGGCGCGAAGCACATTTCCAAGTCAAAAGTGTAAAAAACTGACGGGTTCGGAGCACTTTTGGAAGTTGAGATGTCGAAAAAAGTGCACGCAATTGTGGCGCGAAGCACATTTCGAAGTCAACATGTTAAAAACACAATAAAACACCACATGTTCGGACCACTTTTTGACGTTCAGATGTCGTTTCGCGTGGCAGGGGCAAGGGATTGTGCACCTTGTCAAAAGTGAGCAAAAACGCGAGGTTTTTGTAGCATTTCCAAAAACGATGGCAGGCGTGGGACATTTGAAGAGGATCAGCAAAGATGCATTTTCCGTGGCAGGCGCAGTACAAGAGACATGTTCATCAGAGATGTTAGGAGGTCCGGGCGCTGATTTCCTGAGAGGGGTTGCATTTTGGAGCATCAGATCTTCAGTTTTGGGAAGATGATTTTGCGAGACAGGTGCAGCACTTCGTATGACCTGGCCTCACTTTTTCGTGGCAGGCGCAATACTCTTTAGACAGGTGGAGGGGAAAAATCGCAAAACGCATTGGTACGAGGCCGTCAGCTCTGCACTCAACTTTCCATTTTTGAAGGAAGTCTCGCAGAATTGCTTCGTTATTGATGTTGTCAACTTCGAAACATGAGGAAGTCTCGCAGAATTGTTTCGTTTGCGACGTTGTCAAGTTCAAAAATTAAGGAAGTCTCGCAGAATAGCTTCGTTTTCAAGCTTGCAGATAGACAGATAGATAGATAGACAACTACAACTGCAACTACAACTACAAGTACCACTACACTACACTCCTACTACAACTACAAGTACAAATATACTACGCTACATTACACAACACTAATTACACTACACTACACTAATTACACTACAACTACTACGACGGCCACTACTACTACTACTACTGCTACTACTACTACTACTACTCCTCCTCCTGCTGCTGCTGCTGCTACTATTACTATTACTACCTACTACTACCACCACCCCCACCATCACCACCACCTCCGCTACAACTACAATACAGCTACACTACACTACACTACAATACACTAATTAAACTGCAGTACATTACAGCTACAAATGCAAATGCAACTAGAACTACACTACGTTACACAACACTACACTACACTACACTAATTACATTACATTACACTAATTACAGCACATTACACTACAACTGCACTACCACTACATTGCACTACACGGCACGACACTACAACTACAACTACAACTACACTACTTTACGCTACAATACACTAGGCCACACTACACTATACCACGCTACAGTGCACAACGCTACAGTACACTACAATACACTACACTAATTGCACCACACCACAACTACAACTGCAACTGCAACTACACTACACTAATTACACTACATTACAACTACAACTTACAACTACAACTCCACTACAACTACAACTACACCTACAACTGCAACTACTGCGCTACACCTTTACTACAATTACTACAATTAAAGACAATTACAACTTCAACTACATTTCAACTACACTACAACTACGACTACAACTACAACCGCAACTACAACATTGCAACTTCAACAACATCAACACCACTACAACTACAACTACAGCTACAGCTACAATTACAACTTACAACTACAACTCCACTACACTACAACTACACCTACAACTACAACTACTGCGCTACACCATTTTTACAATTAATGCAATTAAGACAATTACAACTTCAACTACACTATACAACTACAACCACAAACACAACCACAACCACAACTACAACTACAACTATAACTACTGCGCTACACCACACTACATCCGGAGTTGTGTGTGAGGTGACCACTGCAACCATTGCAACCACTCCAAAAAACACAACTTCAACCACCTTTCGGTCCATCAGTGGATTCGCTCTGCCATCCGTGATTCATAACAACCAACCTGTCCTATAGGTTTCCTATGTTTGAAACTTCCGCCACCGCCTTGTGCGGTACTACTGGTAGGTAGTAGTACATAGGTCTCAGAGGCGCGTTTGGGACCAGCACATTAAGCACTGCGGCTGCATTTCAAGCCCGGCGGCTGCATTTTGTAGCTAGTTTCTAGCACGTTCAGAAAGCAACGTTAGGCACCACCAGCTGCATGCCAAGTGGCCCGGTCCGTCCTTCACTGTCATGGTGTTTGGATGTGGCGCATGCGCATGTCCCATGCCCGGCTGCATTTGGAGCGCGGGCATTGTCATGGTGTTTGGATGCGGCGCAGGCGCGCATTTTCGAGGCCCAGCTGCATTTGGAGCCGGCGGCTGCATTTAGCCAAGTCCACCCCTAACTGGTTCCTTTCCATTTGGGAAGTGGCCCCTGGGATCTTGAGTTGGAATCCCTCGTTCGCTTCGCTCTGCAGCCTTTTTCTTTCACTGACCCCGTGCGTCACTTCCTGCGGTTACCGTGTCCGCAGCTCAGCAGAACTCTAAAGATCTAAGGATCCATCAATGGATCTTTATGATCCACGGCAAATTGTCAAAAGGGGGGTCTATCACACATCAACCCTATACTTCCTCAGCCACTTCAGAACAAGTGGGCTTTCACGAGGTCCATGCTCCAAAGCCACCTAAGATTTAAGAGGGGCATCATATTATATCTTAGGATCATCAGTGTCAGACACTGGATGGGTTTGGATGGCATTGTGCACATATCATTGAATGTTCTGTGGATGTTTGTCATCCTATATCCAAGTCATGCCTTCCCGGCATCATCACCAGCTTTTGCCTTGTCGCGAGTAGCAGTTTTCCAAGCACATGAACAGACCTTGGCTATGAGATCCCCACACGAGGATGCTACCCTGATTTCAGCACATACCCCCTGCAATTTTTGATGCACAATAATTACATATAAAAAACACAGGGCGACAGCCTAGTAACTGACTGCATCGTCTTGAAGCTCGGATCTTGGAGACGCGCTGAGTATTTTGCTCCAGCAATCCTTTGGGAACCTGGTGTTTTCTTTGTGCATGCCTTTGCCTTGCACTTTGCGCTCTTTGCCTTGCTCTTTGCCTTTGCCTTAGCCTCAACCTTGATCCCTTTTCGACCTGAAGCCTTGGTGTTGGCCTTCTTGTTGGCAGGTTTCTCTGAACGCGTTCTGGCCTTCCTGGCCGGCTTCGGGCTCACGGGCGTCTCGGGTGGCGACACTTCTGACGCAGGTGTCTGAGTAGCGCTCATTGGGGTCTTGGGGTCTGCACCATCCAGATCCATTGGCGTCCCAGGAGAGACAACACTGATACCATCAGAAACGACATCAGGCTCCCCTTCGCAAACCATATCAGGTTCCTCAGGTTCTTTCAACACAGATCCTGCCATCAGCACCGGGCAACTCCTGCACACAGAAGCCACAGAGCATTGTAATGCTGTAGAACATTGTAACTCGATGATTCATTGTATCATTGTATATAGATCTCTGAAGCTGTGATGAAGGTGTTTTGCTGGTGGGGATTTAGTTCATCGCAAGCCACTGCTGGCAATGAGGCGCTGGATGTCCTCATGGAACGGGATGTCCAGCTTGGCTCATGGATGATGATAGTTCATGATAATTCCAGTATCCTTACGTATCCTTATATAACATAAACATATTTATGTGTATATGCGTATATGTGTGTATATATAAATATATTCTGGCTGAATTAAAAATAATTCACCGACATCAAAATAGCTTGTGATCCTGAGGCAACTTGGGCATGATCCCCCGAATCCTAACCATCATTCTAGTGAGGTCAATTATACATAATTCATCCAAATGTCTACCTGGTAGGTTAATGCTCCCCTATTTCATGACCAATCAACATGGGTCAAGTGTTCTCTGCTCGCCCAACAAGGGACCACAAAGCGTCTACAAAATCCACACATCTGCACACAAGCGGCACACACTTCATCTAAATTCAAGTGTAATTTATTGTAATTTCACAAATTATGTCTGATACCCTCCAAATTTGTTTTGGCCAATCTGGAAACGGCCAAGTGAGAATTCTAATTGCGTAACTTCTGGACCCGCTCCAGTCTCCAACAGATCCAATGCCAAGTCAACCTTGACAAGAATCATGAGGGAATAGAATAATCAGGGAATCTTCATACGCGTCTTCAAGACCTTGGATTTGCACGATAGAGCCGCAAAAAATGCCGCTCGCATCTACTAAGACGGGCCATAATTCCACATTCTTGGTGGAAACAATCAGGACATTGGGGAGATAAAAAAGAATGACAATGACCGAATCACCGACTCTCAGCAAATCCAGGAGACTCATAAGTTGACCAAATGTGCAACTTTGAAGCGAAGTAGGTCCATTTGGCCAGATACCTCGCGACGTCTGAAACAGGTCACTTTTTGTACCAAGTTTCTTGACGTTATATTGCTAATTCAGACACAACAAAGATGGGGGCTTGTCTGAGGGGAAAACGTCAAGTCCAATGGATCAAAACCTCATCGTTCCCATGAACATATACAGTTATACAAACATATAGAATCATACATGTATAATTATACATTTATGGTTAGTATATATATATATATATATGTGGCTGTGAACCAAAATTGGGTATGGAACGTTCATCGGTGTTCCAGATGTATGGAACGAAGGAGCTTCGCAACTGGTCTTGTTCCGGACCTTTGGGGTGTGATGAAATATAGGCTATACGTGTATATGTATATATATATATATAAATAATTATAAGTATATTTATGTATATATATATATACACTAAATATATATATATATATAGATACATACATACATACATACATACATACATACATACATACATACATACATACATCTCAAGGATATGCAGGTTTAAGCTACTCACGCTAGCTGCCGCTCTATTTTACTTCTCATCTGCACGGCAGGCATCCTTGTATACCTGTGCAGCGCAGGTTTGCCTTGGATGGCTAGTCTCGTGCACTAGCTAGGACACAACCGGTAGCAGTGGGTGACACTGGCTACCATGCGAAGCTGTCTGGAGCCTAAGAAGACCCTAGGCTCCCAGAACCCATGCGCAAAGGATAGCTTAGGAGCAGTCTATGTGAGAATTGAATGTAAATCTGCCATTTGTTCACCCGGTGAGTGGGTCAGGGGTGGTACATGGCTGGTCCAGGTCTGGAACGGGTATGGAACGGGGTCTGGAACGAAACGGCCCACTCCAGCACAGCACTGCCACCACGCAGCACATCTTTGTCAGAAGACCGCCAGCTGGCAGCAGCCAAGCGCATCCCTACCATCACAGCACAGCTGCGCCACAGCGGGCAGCACTTGTACGTGGTGCAGACCTGCCACAGGTTGAGAGGAGGGAGGGTCACAAGCAATCCATTCTTAGACTGCCAGCTAGCAGCAGCGAAGCACATCCCTACCATCACACAACACAGCCAACACAATCACGGGGCTTGGGCAGAGTAAACGTATTCTTGCATGTATGCGCTCATGTATGTATGTGCGCTCATGTATGTGCGTACAAAAGTAAAAATCAGATTACACATGTTCAACTATATTAAAAAAACATATATCACTGTATATTTAAGTATAACATACATGCCCATGCCTAGCCAAGCATAAGAAAGTCGCAAACGAAACGAGTTCAGCTCAAACAGCTGCCGCGTGAAGGTTCCAATGCCAACAGTTTTGAGATTACATCGGATTTCTGGTGAAACTTCAAACAGGTATGGAACAGGGGTATGATGGAACGGAGGTATGGAACGGAGGTATGGAACGGAGGTATGGAACGGAGGTATGGAACGAGTGTGGTCCCGGACCTTTTTCCAGACTTTATAATTTGACTTGCACCCAGCTTGTGCGTATACGTACTTGTATACATAAGCGTAGTAAGAAGGTACTTACTTTCGGGGAAAACCTTTGGACAGACTCAAATACCGAAAAGTCCAAAGAAAACACCATTCAGAACTGAATTTATTTGTATTTGTTTTCAGCAGCTCATTGGGCTTCATGTATCGCAGTGAAAACATCGAAAACAATACAATTGTATATATATATGTGTGTGTGCCACTGTTGAGTTACTGTACATGGGCAAATATGGCTTATGGCATATGGCCATTCGTCCCATACTAGGAATCCAAACAGAATGGGCACATAAATCTCGATCTAATGTATCGATAGCCATCCCCTTTTATCGGAAAACAACCCAAGTTTTGAAGATGGCACATGTACATGCAGCAGGATAGTGTGGCTAAATGACTGCAAGTCCTGAAGCTGAAATAAACTATTGTTGGGATAACACGCCTTCTAGCCATCATCCGTGATTAATTGGGTAGGCGAACTCAGAAAGACTCAGATTTTGAAGTGCCTTTTTGGGCCACAAGTTGACTGGTTATGACTACTCTTAACCACCCAATTGAGGGGCACCTAATTGTGACCCAGGAAAACTGTGTCAAACATCTGCTGGAGATCAAGGTCTTCAAAGTGGTACTGGTACAAGGTGGGGCCCCTCGCTGTAAGTTGGGTTTACAAACTCCTATTATATGACTATTATAACTACTATAAGCCCCTATACTTATATATATATATATATATATTAAATTATATAGATATAAAATCTAGTTCTGTTTGCCAACTTAGCGATTCCGAACCGAGGCCTGTCTGAACGTAGGGCCCACGGCATGAAACTTTCAGTTGACGTAAGTGGGTAGGTAATCCACAAGTGGGTACAGTAATGATAAGCATGATGGCATCAACAAAAAGAAAGGGCGTAAAGATATGCGTTTGTCTGAAAATGTGGTATATCCCAATCATAGCCATTGAATATTGGGCCAATTATGAAAACTGGATTTAGTGCAGGCAATCATCTACCGTCTAATCACCCGGAAAAAAAAACTAAGCTTTTCACCTCATGGGATCATCATAAATGTTGTCATGGCTGAGCTTACTTTCCGAGAGATTAACATCCACTTACCAACTGAGTTTTCCCATACCCAGGGCCAAATTTCCATGTTTTTCTTTGGCGCCTCTGCAGCAAAAGGCTGGCGGTCGTATTTCTTGCCTCAGCAGCTGGTGTAGCTTTGAACGGCTTCTGGTTCTGAGCCGGACTCGTATGGATTTAAAAAAACGTGGAAAAAAGTGAAACTAGTTGGTTGAATCTTGTTGAATCCCAGTATTCAATGCTCATTTCAGGAGCCTAACTTGAAGGTACCTACTCTACAAGGCCTATGTAAAGGCCATGTAAGGGAATATCCCCTCAAATGGTATAGTACCTCCATTTTAGGGTCCTGAAATTCCCATTTATTTATGCCCAATAGCTCCTGGGTCCTTTAGTTTAAAGCTTCCATCTCCATTTCACATCAGCCTGCTGATAGAACCCCCTCTTGCCCACGGTCGACCAAGACGTGGGTTGCCTGGAAGTGATTGGTTGCTGCCTAAACCAAAATGACAACGAAATCCGATTCCCTGAGGGAAAGTATCGCATCTGTCAATGAAGGTGCTGAATCTTCTTGCCAAGAAGCGATGACTAACTTCTTGCCAAAGATGGGAAGCTATAGGAGAGGTAAGTTGTTGTGATGCATGGATGGCAGAGCGAATCCACTTATGGACGGAAAGGTGGTTGGAGCTGTGCTATTTGGAGTGCTTGCAATGGTTGCAGTGGTCACCTCACCCACAACTGCGGGATGTAGTGTGTTGTGGTGCAGCTGTATGTGTAGTTGTGGCATTGTGGAGTTGTAGTTGTAGTGTGGTGTAGCTGTAGTTGCAGATGTAGTGGTGGTGTGGTGTAATGAGCGTAGTGAAATGAAATGCTGTGTAGTGTAGTGTGCTGTAGTGTTGTGTGCTGTGGTGTAGTCTAGTGTAGTGTAGTGTAAAGTAGTGTAGTTGTAGTTGTAGCTGTAGTTGCAATTAGTGTAGTGTAGTGTAGCGTAGTGTAGCGTAGTGTAGCGTAGTGTAGCGTAGTGTAGCGTAGTGTAGCGTAGTGTAGCGTAGTGTAGCGTAGTGTAGCGTAGTGTAGCGTAGTGTACTTAGTGTAGTATAGTGTAATGTAGTGTAATGTAGCGTAATGTAGTGTAATGTAGTGCAGTTGTAGTTGCAGTTGCAGTTGTAGTTCTAGTTGTAGTTGTTGTCTAGTGTAGTGTAGTGTAGCGTGTAGTGTAGTGTAATTGGTGTAGTGTAGAGTAACTAGTGTATTGTAGCGTAGTATATTTGTATTTGTATTTGTGTTGTCGTGGTAGTGTAGTGTAGCTGTAGTTGTAGTTTATCTAAGTTCAAGATGGGTGCTTGATATCCAGCTATAAGATAGGTACGCTACGCTTGGTGCGCTTGGTGCGCTTGGTACGCTTGGTACGCTTTGGGTAGGTACGCTTGGTACGCTTAGTAAAGTACGTTTGGTACGCTTACCAACCGTACCGACCGTACCGACCGTACCAGTGAACCGTACATAACCGTACCACCGTACCGTACCAGATTAAGGGGGGGGGTCAAGGTGGGGGCGTTTTGGATGTACCAATACCGTACATACCCCCCCCTTGACCCCCCCCTTAATCTGGTACACGGGATTAAGGGGGGGGGTCAAGGTGGGGGCGTTTTGGATGTACCAATACTACTTTAGTATTGGTACATCCAAAACGCCCCCCCCTTGACCCCCCCCTTAATCTGGTACGGTACGGTGGTACGGTTATGTACGGTTCACTGGTACGGTCGGTACGGTCGGTAAGCGTACCAAACGTACCTTACTAAGCGTACCAACCGTACCAACCGTACCGTACCACATGTACCAACCGTACCGTACCAAGAAAACCAAACCTACCAGCCGTACGTACCAGACATGTTTGGATCTTACTTAAGGCCTCTACCACCTATCTTGAACCTAGCCAAGTTGTAGTTGCAGTTGTAGTTGTCTATCGGTCTATCTATCTATCCATCCATCTATCTATCTACCTGTCTATCTGCACGTTTGAAAACGAAGCTATTCTGCGAGACTTCCTCAATTTTTGAACTTGACAACATCAGAAGCGCAGCAAGTCCGCAAGACTTCCTCAATTTTTCAAGTTGGCAACATCAAAAACGAAGCAATTCTGCAAGACATCCTTCAAAAATGGAAAGTTGAGTGCAGAGCTGGTACCAATGCGTTTTGCTTTTTTTCCACTCCATGAGCACTTTTGGAAGTTGACATGTCGAAAAAGCGCACGCCATCGTGGCGCGAAGCATATTTCGAAGTCAAAAGTGCAAAAACCTGACGGGTACGGACCACTCTTGGGCGTTCAGATGCCGTTTCGCGTGGCAGGCGCAAGGGATTGTGCACCTTGTCAAAAGTGAGAAAACGCGAGGGTTTTGTAGCATTTCCAAAAACGATGGCAGGCGTGGGACATTGGAAGAGGATCTGTAAAGATGTATTTCAAGTGGCAGGCGCAATACAAGAGACATGTTTATCAGAGATGTTCGGAGGTCAGAGCGGAGGTTTCCTGAGAGGGGTTGCATGGGGTTGCATTTTGGAGCATGAGATCTTCAGGTTTGCCAAGTTTGCTATGATTTTGACGGCTGCAGCACTTCGTGTGACCTGGCGTCACTTTTATACTTCGAAATGTGCTTCGCGCCACAATGGCGTGCACTTTTTCATCTCTCATCTGGCCAGATGGCTCCGCACCCGTCGCTTTAGCGAGCCTACTCTTCGACCCTCCGGAGCCACACATCATTGGAAAAACACAGTGTTTCGCGCCTTTTCTACCTTTTCGCGCACCTGCATCTTCTTTCCTCTGACTTTCTCTTCTCTGATCTTCTTTCTTCTTCTCTTCTCTTCTCTTCTCTGACTCTTCCCTCCTCTGCTTTTCCATCTATCCATATTGTCGGAAGTTTGACTTCTAAGCTTCCTTCGATTATCCCGTTTGGCACGATTATTCCATCAAAATAGCTGCATCTGAACATGTGTGCTATGGTCAAAATATGGTATATGGGCGATGGTCATCCCACCAATTATTCATGTGATTCCAGAGATAATGAGTATATTAACCCCTGTTGCCGGAGAGGGTGACCATCCACCCAATTAGAGGGTCAATCTACTCCGCCTAACTTGACCATGGCACATGTTGTTCCTACCCTCCACATATTTGGATGTGTTCTGCAGCTACCTCAAACATCGTTTATGTGATGTCCCTAATATACCATAAACCCAACAGTCAACCCAAAATAAACCAATTTCACTAGCAATCCTAGTTTTCAAAGTTCTTACTTGTATGCCACTATATACACATGTAATATATCCCAATTATATCCCCATAGTTAAATAGGAGGGCATCTATCTGAAGCTAGCTATGGGGTCCCATTTTTTCCCTCAGCCCGTACAGAATCGTCATGAACGCTCCACCCAAATTCTACCAATGCCACAAACAACTACCATTTGGGGCTGGCACAAAAAACCAACCATGTCTGATCATATTACTGGGGGTGGTCTAGAATCTAGCTACCACATTGAGCCACCTGGGTTTGGTAAAAAACAATCATGTATTTCGCTACTCTTCCTTTACGAGTAGGGTTCAAAACAAATTTTGGTTGATGATTATTTGGGCTACATGGGGTTAGTTACTATCCAATATATTAAGGATAGTCATCGCCACTGAGTCCATGTCCCCAAGGCTACAAGTAGTGGGGCCCATAGTTACAAGTTGGTTTATAGACCCTATCAGCTATGATTATATTATCTACTAGAAACCATAGAAATCACATAGTTGTGCTGCTGTCACTTTAGCGATTTCGTAAACCCAGTAGCCACCGCATTGTGTAGGAATTTAAATCTTTGGTTCGGACCCAAAATCCGCCGACCCCGGCCTTTGCCAAGGCAGGGGCGGCGCCTGGGACCACCGCAGGTGTGGAACTTGTCTTTCTTAGCAACAGGCATCCCAAGGCCACATCAATGGCTTCTTATGGGCGTCCAGCGCAGGCAATAGCTACCCGAAGGCCAGATCCATCGCTTCTTCTGGGCGGTTCAGCGTGCCGTTTGCCAGGCATTCGCAGCCAACAGGCATCCCAAGGCCACATCAATGCTTCTTATACATCAATGGCTTCTTATGGGCGTCCAAGCTTTTTCTGGGCGGTCCAGCGTGCCGTTCGCCAGGCATTCGCAGCCAACAGGCATCCCAAGGCCACATCTTATGGGCGTCCAAGCTTTTTCTGGGCGGTCCAGCGTGCCGTTCGCCAGGCATTCGCAGCCAACAGGCATCCCAAGGCCACATCAATGGCTTCTTATGGGCGTCCAAGCTTGCCGTTTGCCAGCCCCTAAACCCCTAAAACCCTCCAAACCCCTAAAACCCTGCTAACCCCTAAAACCATCCAAACCCCTAAAACCCTTCTTATGGGCGTCCAGCGCAGGCAGCCAACAGGCATCCCAAGGCCACATCAATGGCTTCTTATGGGCGTCCAAGCTTGCCGTTTGCCAGCCCCTAAACCCCTAAAATCCTCCAAACCCCTAAAACCCTCCAAACCCTTTAAAACCATCCCAAGGCCACATCAATGGCAACAGGCATCCCAAGGCCAGATCAATGGCTTCTTATGGGCGTCCAGCGCAGGCAATAGCTACCCGAAGGCCAGATCCATCGTGTCTTCTGGGCGGTCCAGCGTGCCGTTCGCCAGGCATTCGCAGCCAACAGGCATCCCAAGGCCACACCAATGGCTTCTTATGGGAGTCCAAGCTTTGTCTGGGCGGTCCAGCGTGCCGTTCGCCAGGCATTCGCATGCGTCCAAGCTTTTTCTGGGCGGTCCAGCGTGCCGTTCGCCAGGCATTCGCAGCCAACAGGCATCCCAAGGCCACATCAATGGCTTCTTATGGGCGTCCAAGCTTGCCGTTTGCCAGCCCCTAAACCCCTAAAACCCTCCAAACCCCTAAAAACCTCCAAACCCCTAAAACCATCCCAAGGCCACATCAATGGCAACAGGCATCCCAAGGCCACATCAATGGCTTCTTATGGGCGTCCAAGCTTGCCGTTTGCCAGCCCCTAAACCCCTAAAACCCTCCAAACCCGTAAAACCCTCCAAACCCCTAAAGCCATCCCAAGGCCACAATGGCAA